CCTGTGGGGAAACAGTGGCACATGGAGGGTAAGCGACCCTTGCAAGGTCACCCAACAGATCATAAGTCTTCTAAGCCTTAGTAGAGTATCCTATCCACTTGGTCATGCTGCTTTTTCATTGCCCAGTGGTTGGTTTGGTGCTTACTTTTCTATTTTCTGTCCTGGTATTACTAAAATAATAAAAGTAATAAAAATTTCTGCCATCCTCTCCTCACTCCCAAAGAAAGAGAAAATCCTGTTACGAATAAATCTATGCAAATATTTTATATCCTGGGGGTTTTTTTAAATTAAAAAAACTCATTTAACTGGTAGCCCTATAGCCTACAAAAGTACATGTATTTGTACAAGATTGGTAGCAACTTCTATTAAACTGATGGGCTTAGATTTAGGTTAGTTGGAGTTGAGAACCAACCATTTTCCTGTTTCCTTGCTTTTTCTTTTTCTGGAATCTGTCCAGGGTGCAGAAATGTATAGGTCAGCTATATTTGCAATGCAAAATGGTGGTGTCAAACATGTAATGCTATAAACACCATCCTTCTAAGAATAGGCTGGTGTGGACATGCAGATATTTACCTATATTTGGTACAATTAAATAAAACCAGGGCCCATATTTTTTCTTTATTGGCTAAAAAAAAAAAAAAGGAGGAGAGGTACAGTAAAACTGAAGAGGCATTGGTTTTCTTCTCCATTTTTTTTGTTTCATTTTTCCTTCTTTCTTTTGTTTTCCACAGAGAGACAGCAGAACACAACAAATATGTTTATAGTCTGAACAATCTGAAATGCCTGTCTTTTTAATATAATTTCACAAATGAACTGACAAACAGAATGTATGTGGATAGCAGCTCTGAAAAAGCAAGAGTGTAAATAATACAACCTCCCAGGTAGAAATGAGCTGCTTTCCCAAGTGTCATTTCTCAGTGAATTAGGTGTGCTTCCCTTCCTGAAGTCATAGTCCTAGAGAAGGCAGTAGTTTGAAGGGCTACTTGAATCCCAGTAGGTGGCACACAGAGCTACAACACCAAGAATTGTGCCAAAGAGAGAGATATGCTAAGGTCTTAGCCTGATTTATACTCACAAGCCTTTTCTTCTGACCTGTCTTTCAAAAGTGGTCTTCTAGGGGCATCATAAGGAGTGATAATGATATTAGAGTTCAATGAGGATAAGCAATCGTGATGATTTAAGTCCCTGAGCTATAGCCATATGCTTGTATGTTTTTGTTTTGTTATAAATTTGGTTAGCTCCTGCTTGTGGAAATGAGATTTTGACAGTGCTGGGCTTTAGGCCAGAAATTTTGCAAGTAGGCTCTGTAAGAGGTTCCCTAAATTGTTCAGGCAGTGTGCTTCAGTTTTAACTTGCGATTAGAGCAATAGATTCTTAATAAAATCTTTAAATTTTCCTGTTAAAAATGAGCAGGCGCTGATAAACAGAGACACCATTAAGGCACTGACCTGGGACTCAAGAGAGCTTTTTTCTCCCTACGATGTGAAATGTGGCCAATGTTGTGTGTCACTTGATTTCACTTTGCCTCAGTTCCCTAATCAAAAATGAGGATAATAGAATTTCGTTTCTTCCCCTCCTTTGTTTTTATTTGCTGTTTAGATTTTAAAAATGTTGGGACAGGGATCATCTCTTACTCTGCTTTAAGCAGCACTAAGCAAAATGGGGTCTTGACTTTTGTTATTTGGATACTACTGTAATAAGAATTGATTTGTGGCGCTTCCATGAACGTAGATTTTTTGCACAGAACTTTCCAAACAAGCAAAAGATGTATCTGAGGTTGTGTGTGTGTTTTTTTTTATGCTAACTGACATCGGAAAATTTTGAAGCACTTCTTTGGGATAGACATTGAAATTTAAAACATTGACTTTGGTCTTCTGATTGGCTTATGCTCTCTGCTTTGTTCTTTCTCTGGGTTGAGAAGATATAGATAGAAAAGCATTAGATTCTCCCAAGTCTTTTGCAGTTAAAGAAATTATAGAACTCGCAAATGATTATCCTGGGTAGTATGACTGTGAATTGGTCAAGTTTTTGTGAATCCACAGACTTATTAATTTTGCTAGATTCAGTTATACAAGGAAGAACAGACTCTGAGAAGGAACAGAGAGGCCAGCCTATCGCAAGGTTATTGCCTTATTTCACAGTGTGATTTATACAGCCAAAGTACTGGCTGCATTCTCTTCTGTTTGACTCTATTTTATTTCTTCTCATCATTCTGGTATTTTATGACTTAAGGGCAAGTGCCCTCTGAGAATCTGTTCTGTTGAACCTCTGACATTATTACAGGCTGGAGGTCTGACTATCAAAAGTGCTGGGCACTGGTAGCTTCAGTTTAAGTGAATGGAAGCTGAAGGTGCTCTGAAAATCACATCCGTAACATTTTAGTCTTTTGGGGATTGAGTCATAAATTTAGGCCACTGCTTGGACTAATTTCCCCTTGACTATGCTGCTGTGAAAAAAATGAATGAAGTTTGTTAGATTAGAATGAAACTTGCAGTCCTAAATTAACTTGTGCCATTGTTACATAGCCAAGAAATTGATCAGATGTTAATAAAGCTGGCTTTAGAATTAAAACCTCATAAGTATAATTAAGCTTCAGAGATTTCTTAGTAATTGGAATGTTGCACCTCTGGAAAGATCAGGGACCCTTTTTCTTTGAGGCATAAAGTGTTCCCATGCAGGGTATGTTCTTATGGCAGCAGCTGTTGCTGCAGGAGCTGCAGCAGGATATAACAAGCCAGGCCCAGGAGAAGATGCACATCTTGTCAGTGGCTAGCTCCTGACTAGCCAGGAGTTGTTTACAAAGTCCCACAAAGCATCTTACATCTAATTTGCCAAGTTTAATCGGGAGAAAGAAGTTGTTTAAGGATAGTGAAATACGTGTTGAATCATAGGCTGGGGAGCAATTGCTCCAGGTGTAGAGACTGTTGTTGTTCAAGGTGAATGTGGAATAGGATACTTATCTAAGCACTAGCCATTTGTTCTTGATGTAGGTTAGAATGCTGGAATGTCTGTGAATTGCTAATGAAGAAGACCAAGAGGACATGAATGTGGAGGAAAGACGAGGTGAATTGATATAAAGGTTTCATGAGCTCAGATTACATGACGCATGAAAGGAGAGGGTAGGCTCAGGCTACAAAATAGTCAACAGCTTAGTGGTACAAGGCATCCATAACATGCATATGTGTGGTAAAATATCCTGTTGGGCATTCTTCTGGTTGGTTAGTGACCAGATTTGCAACAAAAAGAAGTGCTCAGTAGCCAGTGGCTTCCATTGACTCCATATTTGCTAACAGATTTTGGAAATTTGACCATAATGCAATTTATTCCACAGAAGAGAACAATTTTCTTTTAACAGATTTTCTTCCTTTTGGTGTCTCATAGGCCTTTATGTTAAATGTGTTAAATGTCTAGTTTATTTTAGGGCTAAGGAAGGATTACAGCACGGAGAATTTGCATTTATCTCCTCCCAGCACACTTTTATGTCAAGGCAATGGGGAAGGGATCCATTTAATACTTTCTTTCCAACCATTGTTATTATATGCATTTAATCTTCTAAACCTTTATGTGAAAATTATTGTCTCTGATACCTCTGTGATATGCCTCCATAAACCTGACAGAGCTAGTCTTCTCTACTTATTGTTTGATTATACATTGTCTTGTTGCTCTGTGAGTGCTTGAGTTCAGTGTCCAGTCCTCAATCAGCAGAGCTTTGGTACACACATTACTTAATGGTTGGGAAGGCTCTATTTTTTTTTTATTACCAGGCTTGAAGTTTTGCTTATGTTTTTCTTATTCTGCTTGGGATATAATCAGCAAACAAAGGTAGTTTGTTGTCCTGTCCTTCCTGCAGGTTTCCTGGAGAAGATTCTATACCAGGGGTCAGCCACATTTTTGAATCAGTACTGGCTACATTATACTTGTCAATCACATAATAGGAAAATATTCAATTTATGGTCAATAAACAGCTTGTGATTCTACCAAACATCTCAGCTTCTTTTCAGTATTTGATAATCCCTTAACCCACTGATTGGCAACATTTTTGGGCAGAGTACCAAAATCACCTGCAACCTTGACTTTTAAGATGTTGGCATGCCAGGGGTGGCATGCCACAAGGTGCCCATTCCCTGTTTTGGCAGGGCAGCCTCAGCCCTGTCCCTGCCAGCCGCCCATGCATGTGCACCCACCGCCAGCAACAAGCTGAGCCAGGGCTCCACAGACCCCGGTGCAGCCACTTGCAGCCTCCCAGCCGCCTGCCACAGCTGGCCCGGGCTCTGGGAAGGCTCCTGCTGCTTGCCATAGAGCCTAGGCTGCTCACAGAAGGCTGTGGGGAGACTGCAAGCAGCTGCACCAGGGTCTGCAGAACCCTGGCTTGTCTTGTTGCTGGTGGCGGGTACACATGCACCTTGAAGTGGACAGCGGGGAAGGGGCCAAGCTGCACTGCCACACAAGGATTGCGCCTCTTGTGATTCCCTTGCCATCCGTCCCACCATGCAAAATGTCTTTACATGCTATGCTCTGGCATCTGTGCCAGGGTCTGCCTACCCTTCTATACTGTCTCGTGTTTCCTTTCAAGTTGCAGACTGCTGTTGGTTCAATGGCATAGTGTATGTCCCACCTTCACCCCCCAACACACACACACACACACACACACACACACACACACACAC